CACACGCTTGATGAAAAATCTTGTGTCTTCACATGAATTCATCAAATTATGTATTTTAATGTCTATAAGCTTGCTTAGCTAATACAGTGATTTCTATAATCTACATACCAAACTTTCATCATCTTTTACCTCAAAACCAACCGATTGTTTTATGTAAATCTTTTCATTTAAACATACGTAAAGAAAGACTATAATCACATACATTTGATCCATAAGAAAATTGAATATTGAGGCCTATGCACAAACTTGACGAGTTTTGAAATTAGTAATTTAACTCTAAAACTACTCAAAAATATACTTGTCGCCATTATTTGATCGCATATATCTCAATCTTTGTCTAGTCTAAATCTCCACTAGTATGTGTCAAGTTTTATTTGAAGGTTGTAAACATCTTAAAATTATGGATACAAAAATATATCTACACATACCTTGAGTGATCATTTATGAAACATTCATAATATAGATTTCTAGAGAGTGAGGCCATAAGAGATGATATCCACTATACTCCACTATCTTTGTGAAAGTATGAGTTCCAACATCAAAAGCTTGTCCATGCTGTTTGTTCATGATATAATGCTCACAAAGACAAAGTCAACTTCCTCGAAACCCGATAACATTTTCTTTTCATCAAAAAGAAACGTGTACCGTTCACTCATATGGCATAGTCTAGAATGCCATACATGAGACATCTCAACACGAGTATTAATAAGATTAACTTCTCCACAAATAATTGTGCGCTTTAGCAAGTACAAATTTTTTTGCTTGTATTGTCAAAGTATAATCTTCTTATCATACAATCTAACTTCTAACATGTTTTGCCTAGAGTTTCACAGTAGTAAAAAAACACGCGTTAATCTAACATTCTAAGAGAGATCAAGTTCTTTCTCATATTAGGTATGACCCTATCTTTGATGAGCATACGGTTGACTTCATCCAACATTCCAAGAGAGATCAAGTTCTTTCTCATATTAGATATGACCCTATCTTGAATGAGCATACAGTTGACTTCATCCAACATGCTGATCTTTATGGATTCAACATACTCAATTCTACATGGTTGATCATTTCCCGTAAGAATTGAACCATTTGATCTTGAGATAGTATAAAAGAATTTTTTAATGTAACAAATATGATACAAACAATCACTATCAATACTCCAACAACTTTTGATGAACTCTAGAGATCATATTTCTAGCATCATAGGCTGTTTGCAAACATATCTTCCTCTTAGATATCAAAACGCTCCGCAACATTCACCATTGAAAGGGGGTATTATACCTCTGACTATCATCAGGCAGTATTTTTTGTTGTGGTTATTCTTGTGACATCTCAAACACATCAAGTTACTCATGTCAGATGACTTAGCTTAAAATTAGGCTTTTTTTTCTCACGTGATCTACATCTCTACTTCTTGAATCTTGTATGCCGCAAATCTTTGGTATCCTTTGGAAGTGAATGATCTCAGTCACAATAAGTGCGGTATACAAAGTGAATGGACGAGAGAATGACAACATCTCATGTTCTAACTTGTCCGCCACGAGAGCACTTACAATCTAGTTGTAAATGCTCTCAAGTAAGTCACTTACAATGAGGTTGTAAATGACTGCCTTATTGTCACGATGAAGTAGAAGTTTTGATAGTGTCTGGTAGGTCAGAATCAAGAAATGAATAAGATGCATAGCTTTCTTCATGTTAGAAAGCTGCTGTTTCATACTCTAGAGATCTAGAAACAAATCATAGTTTGTGTGAATGTGATCATGGATTCTTGTTTTCGGCCTCATCTTGAAGTTCAACAGCCTCATATAGGTGTTCATCATGTTTGACAATTCCTTCTGATAGAACCGTCGCTGATGGACGTTGAAGACCTATGTGACCTTAACATACTACTCAAGCTACTTCATTACCAAAGAATGTTGATGGCCATCACAATGTACACTACATGCTCTTGTAAATTTGTCCAATCAATATCGTTACTGTGCAGAGTCTTCTCTTGGAATGCATTAACAATACTCTTAGAACTCAACTTGCCTATTAATTGCTTTTTCCAAAGCAGTTTATCATCTCGGCCATCAAGGGGTAGATGTTGTACCCTTATCCTTCAACCTGTTTCAATGCCAACTCCGTTCGGCAAAAAATGAAAAAATAGTGGCTGCCCTGTCAATTTTTTCCCTTTAGAGTCACTTTCCGCTCCTAAAAATGTTCAAGATATACTAGACGCGTCAAAAGTTTTTCAACAATATCCAATTTGCCTATATTCCTCCAAAAATTTTTGCAAAAAAAATATCTACAAAAAAAATATTTCCTCAGACAATAGAATCTGCTCAACATGCTTGTCTGACCTGCCCACCTAGTCTGCTCGCCACATGTATATCTTGTGCTTTACGGGCAGTCGTTGCGTGCAATCTGGCAGGGGAGGGAGTATTATGCAGTGGCGTTGACAATTCAAATTCCAAACCGAATAGAATTGATTCAAACTGTCAGTTGTTGTCGATCCAATTTGAACTTCCGCAATCCACTTTGACCTTCTTCCGACCTTTGCCTGTACATCTCGCTTTGAACTTTGCTCGACCGCTGCTGCTCAGTTTGACAGGAAGAATTTTGCGTAGTACCATTCCATATGCCTTCGCGGATCAACTTCTTCGCTCTTTCAAATTTTGACGGAATTCTATCAAATTTCTCGTAAAAAAGCACTCATTGAAATAGCATACTCTCTTTTAAACTCTTGCTATTGACTGTTTTCTCAAAAAATTCTGTCATCTTGAACTGTTTCCTTAAACTAGTTTACTCAAAAAATTACTTAAAACCATAAATAATAGAATATAACCATAAAAAATAGAAAATCCGTCAACGACAAAAAAACTCGTCTTGAATTTACCTGCCACACACACTGTCATGTGACAAACATCAAACATAAACACCGCTTTGATACCAATTTGTTGTAAATAAACTGAAAGTCGAAAGACACAAGTACAAACACGAGTAGACGAGGGACACAACATACAATGTGGTTCACACTTAAGAGTTTACGTCCACAAAACACGCGAGAGAAACTGACTGAAAGCAAGAAACTTGTAGAGCAGACGCCTTGGGTTATATATACCGGAACACCGGAGACCAATCTAGCTATAGATAGTTGAGTTATGAGGTTGCTTTTAAATTGTAATTAACCTTACAAAATTGAACATAAGATAGTTAGAACTTGAGGTTACTTTTTAATTGAAATCAACCTCAACAAATTTAACATAACTTGACCTAGTGACAATCATTTTGACTTAATAAAAAATGATCAAGACAAATATTTCATAAATATATGATTTTCAATTTTAATGTTTATTTCTTAGAAGACTTTGTTTTGGATAACAAGTATTGTGAAGATTGAGTGTACTTTAATTTCGTCTTCATTTTTTGTTACTACCATAGATTGAGAAACATAAAGTTTTATAGACTGGTTGTTCTCAAACATGATGTAGAACTCTAAACCGAATTTCCTCGCAGAAATTTTTTGCTAATTGCAGTGGATCTTTCCATATCAAGCTAGATTCAATGCATGAAACATTTGCTTGTTGAGAAATTGTTATAAGTGGGCACTCTTATATAACTAATAGGGTAGAAACCAAGTCAAATGTAAAACAAATCTGTACCTTATGAAAAAAAATGCCTACACTTGCGGCTTGTTTGTTACCGATATAGTTTTTAGTCTAGTAACAATAGATATTCTCGTACGACTCATCGAGGTCTGCAGCTGCTGCTTCCTGGATAGTAGCGGCCCGCCCATCTGATTCTCAAGTGGTCGTCGCCTACTTTGGCCAGTCCTGTGCGGACACTTGATTCTGAATCTCGGTTTCCTTCAGAAGAGTCCTCTACAATGTAAAAAAGAGCACAGTTGTCTCAACAGAACCAATCAGAGCAGAAAGGACCGAAGTTGCAGGAACGAGTAACTTTCCCAACACGTCGGTATATACTCTTGAACCAGCACTGGGGTGCTGGTGCTGGTTCGAATTTTTTACGCAGAGACAACCAACAAGACGTGTACTTCTTCCTCGTATGGCCAACTGGAAATCAGGATTCTGGATCCAAGCGGAATGCAAATATGCGGCGATCTGGGCAGACGACAGGAACCTCCACAGGGTGAGGAGGAGACTTGCAAGCCCCAAATAGACCAGAATGCGGCGTTTTGCTTCACTGGCCGCACCGCAAGCAAACGTGTCACTCCAGCAAATGTGCTCAGAAGCCGTACTCCTGTACTTTCAGAATCTCTTCACTGCTGCTGCTGATACTACTCCTGCAGCGCTAGCTCGAGCCCCACTGGAAGTCAAACTTGCCACAGACGATAGCGAGCTTCGCGCTCTGTATATTTAGAGCACTCTTCTGCTCAATCAAATTCATCCTCTCGTAGTGTCTTTGCCTCCATTCTGTCTCTTCAACTTCCTTAGTGTATTGTCCCTGACCTCGAGTCAGAAAATTACGACTGCTTGAATCGGGACAAACACTCAAAGGTGTTAGAGACTGAATGTGTAGAGCTTCTGACACATCCGATTCGTTACAATTTTGTACGATTGTCATCATTATACGGAGTTGGTGAAGCCACACTCCAATTCCCCGCACTTTTCAGGAGCTCGTGACGGGTTAATCTATGCTTCACGAGTTAGGCGTTTCAGTTTAGTTTCTGAGAGTCGGATTCCTGAGCTATGGCTGCCAACAGCGACTCGCAGGAGGGAAACGCCAAGGGAGAGCCCGTGTTCCAGATGACTATGGAGACTGTGGGAGAGAAAGAAGCCACTGATCTTAAGGGGAGGAAGTTCGCTCTCCCGGTCGATTCCGAGCACAAGGCTAAGACCGTGAGGCTCTATTCCGTGGCTGCTCCTCACATGAGGACTTTCCATCTGTCGTGGATCGCCTTCATGATCTGCTTCTTCTCCACCTTCGCCGCACCGCCTCTCATGCCCGTCATCCGTGACAACCTCGGACTCACCAAGGTGGACATTGGCAACTCCGGCATCGCCTCAGTCGCTGGAGCTGTGGTGTCTCGGCTGCTCATGGGCACCATCTGCGACCTCGTGGGGCCTCGCTACGGCTGCGCCATTCTCATGATGATCACGGCGCCTGCCATCTTCTGCATGCCTCTGGTGTCCACTCCGGTGGGATTCATCCTGGTGCGATTCTTCATCGGTTTCTGCCTGGCGACGTTCGTGTCGTGTCAGTTCTGGATGAGCTCCATGTTCAACAGCAAAATCGTGGGAATCGCTAACGGCACGGCAGCCGGATGGGGGAACATGGGAGGAGGCATCGTTCAGCTGGTGATGCCCCTGGTGTTCGACATCATCCGCCGAGACATCGGGTCAGAGAAGTTCACAGCCTGGAGGATCGCCTTCTTCGTCCCCGGCGTGCTGCAAGTGATGATGGGATTGCTGGTCTTGACCCTGGGCCAAGATTTGCCCGACGGAAACTATGCTGAGCTGAAGAGAGAGGGCGAGAAAGTGAACGACAGCTTCCAGAAGGTGAGCTCCAATGTGACAGTCATTCCCAAATTCTCAAATGCTTGCAATGTTGACATTGAGTGTTGGCGTTCTTCTGAGCTCGAGTCGAAGAAGTTATTACGAAGAGATCTGATGGGCTCACTCTGATCATAATCTGATGAGATCTGAAAATTTTTCTTTGCAGGTGTTTCTCTACGCAGTCACCAACTATCGCACGTACATTTTTGCTCTGACATACGGCTATTGCTTCGGAGTGGAGCTCACAGTCGACAACATCATCGCCGAGTACTTCTACGATCGCTTCGACCTGAACCTGCAGACTGCTGGAATCATCGCATCCACATTCGGGCTCATGAACTTGTTCTCTCGCCCTCTGGGAGGAGTCCTGTCTGACGTTGTGGCGTCGAGGTGGGGAATGAGAGGCCGGCTGTGGAACCTGTGGATCATCCAGACGGTGGGAGGAGTTCTGTGCATCGTTCTGGGCCTGACAGGCCAGCTGGGACCTGCCATCGCCGTCATGCTCATCTTCTCGTTCTTCGTCCAGGCAGCTTGCGGTGCCACTTTCGGTGTCATTCCATTCATCTCCAGAAGATCACTCGGAATCATCTCTGGCGCCACTGGAGCAGGTGGAAACATTGGAGCTGTGACGACTCAGGGAATCTTCTTCATGAGCTCCAAGTACACAACGGAGGACGGGATCATGCTGATGGGCATCATGATCGTGGCCTGCACTCTGCCTGTTATCTTCGTCCACTTCCCGCAGTGGGGAAGCATGTTCTGCCCTCCGTCCAAGGCCACGGAGGAAGATTATTACATCTCCGAGTGGAGCAAGGAAGAGCAATCCAACGGTCTCCACCATGCTAGCATGAAATTCGCCGAAAACTCCAAGTCCGAACGAGGTCGTCAGTCGCCCCCAAGATCCAAAGAAGAAACCGTTGGAGTGGATAGACTCTGACAGTTGTGGACAGGCATTACCAATGTAATAATTCTCAAATCACCCTGCATCTGTGCTAACGAGCTTTTCTCAGTTCCCAATCAGCTCTCCTATGAGAAATCGAATGTATTCTTCACCCTTAGAGGAATTTGCGTTCTGTCTCAGGTACAAATAATAGATTTAGTTTATACCCCAGAGATGTAGCATGATCGATATATTTCTAATCGGTAATATATTTCAACGTAGTTTGAGTTACGTACAGATGTGTTATCACTTAACTTTTTTGTAGGGGTTGCACCAGATGGTGAAATGCAGCGACTGAAGTAGTAAGAGTTACGAGAAGGAGGATGTAGATTATGTTGGTCATAGGAGGCAGATGAAATTAAACATGTGTTAACACCATAGCTTTTAATTTTTTTGCATAGAACGTACATTAGCAGTGATATGCATGTCGAGTAGAGGACAGTAATCTGTTAGCCTAAGAAGGTGAGCAAATGCTTTTGCCATGGCTGACAGGAATTTAGAGCTGAATGGAGCTGTGATGAAATATAAGGCCGGATGTGCTCAGTTATAAAAAAGGTCCATACAAGTTTCATGATATTTTTGGTTTCCATGAGAGGGTGAAAGGCAACTCAGATGTTGTGATAAGATGTCATGCATGTACTCTGAACTAATTATCCAATCCCAACCCTTTTGATGGCAATAAACAGCGTATATTCTCCATTAACATGTTAAAATACAGTGATTACCTACATATGAATAATAGTTGCGTGAATGCTTCTGCAGGGAAGTAATCAACAGTATCTCTGGAAAGGGTTCTTTGAACATCTGATCCTTTAATATTTTACTTTCTTCCACCAAATCAAAATGCTTTATAATGCACTTCTTCTGTACTCTTCTGCTGCTCTCGTGTGACATGAAGGTTATTAGATTGGAGTAACTTTTGGGACGATTATCAGTTTCATGAACGCTAAGTTTACTATGTTGGAAGCTAAGATGCTGTCGTTTCTGCACATCAGATTCAGCAATGATACCAAGTTAAAATTCACGGTGATCTTTTACTCATGAATCAGATGTTGATTCTTACCACCCACAACCCGTGGCAAGTGAATACCGGATTATCTTGGATTTAATTTACACTTCATAACAAGAAACAGCTGATACACATTTTGGCAATCATAAAAATGATCGATCGTAGATGTAAAAGATTGCGGCAATCTTGGGACTGAACCTTTATCCCACATGAATCAGAGATGTGAGCTTGCGTATATATGTGTACTCCAGAGAAGAACAAACATATCGAGTAGAGGTGATTTCGATTGGTTCAACTTTGCACACGGCCACATCATAGCCACATAAAATACAATAATACTTTCTTCAAGGTCGTTTTCTGTATATATAACTTTGCTACATTGATAAATTTTTTCCAAAATCTTACATTACAAAACACACAGCTAAATTCATGAGTCATCCACCATCGTTTCGATTATCTAAATACGGTAAATGTATATGATACAATTATGTTACAAATAAATTGATATTCGAAAGACACAAGCACGAGTAGATAGAGAGACATAACATATAATGTGGTTCATCTTTCAGAGTTCTATGTACACAATTGAAATACGTGAGATGGTTTGCTAACAACTGAAAGCAACAACCATACAAAGCAGAAAACCTTTGGGTATATATATATCCAATACCTAAAACTAACCTAGTTATAGATAGCTAGAACTTGAGATTATCTTTTAACCAAAATTAATCTCAACAATGTAAATTTTAATTTGCGTTAAGTAAATAGTAACTTCTGAAAATTATATTATTGTTTCGGAAAATATTCTAGACAACAATTTTAAAGAAGGTTACTCTTTACACAAAAATTAACTAGAACTAAATTGTAACCATAATAATATAAAATAATAACATAAAGAGATAATTAAACAATCTGTTGGTAACTTGTATAATTACTCCGCAAAAAGTTTTAGAATGAAACCTAATACCATACCCCTTTTTACACGAAAATTAACTAGATCTAAGACGAAGCTATTACATGATAGAGTATATATATAGAAAGATAAGTGAACGTTTTATGCTAGTAAATTTTATCTATGCTCCTCATGCACAACCTGCATGGTAGCACAGTGTCGCCTTAAACCCTCCAAAGAAATAATTTTGGTCAACGCATCAACTAGTTTGAGTTTACCTTTGATGTTGAATAACTCAGTTATTTCATCAGACACTCCTTGTCTAATAAAATGGTACGTGCTGTCAATGTGCTTCATTTTATTTTCTATGACCAGGTTTGCAACCAAACTTAAGCACTCTAACGATCACAATAAAGATTGATCACGCCATATGTCAATCTCATCTTCATGATAAGTCTATCCAACCAAATATCTTCCTTCATTGCTTCTTCTACTGTCACACACTTAGCTTGCGGGTTGACTGAGCTATGCAGTTTGGCAAGGTAAATCTTCAACAAATGCTTTCACCACCAAGTGTAAACAAAGCCAGTTGTAGATCTACTTTTGACTAGATACTGACCGTTGTCAACATCAACATTGTCAAACAAGGATTAGGTATTGTTTTATAAATCATCAAACATCAAATCATAATCCACAATACTTTTCAAATATCTTATAATTCTTTTCACTACTTCCAAGTGAACTTTTCCTGAATTTAACATGTACATATACATCTTGTGCATTGCAAAAGCAATATCCGATCTAGGGCACACTATCAAATACATGAGACTGTCTAGGGATGTTCATTGTCGTGCGAATACATATCGCCATACACTCTACATCGCTGACATGCTACTCACATACACATACGCACACACATACACACATATAAGGCGCGAGAGAGTACACACTCAAATGTCACAACTCGCCCCCCTAGCTGGCGGTCAGGTCCCTCTGACTCCCAGGTAGCCCCATCTACAACTACATGCTATACACCTTCGTGGGTGCGCGAACCAGTAGGCCGGGTGCTATGTCGCCCCATCGTTAGTCTCCTATTTGCAATTCATAACATGTGAAGATCAAGTCATCTACCCCTATGAAGTACATCGAGGTGTAATAACCCACTAAAGGCTAAAACTGCAATATAGTGGTAGAAAGGTCGAACCCACAGGGACAGAGGAACACACAGGGTACAAAGTGTCACGTTTTAACAGACTATTGAGGAGTTTGAATTCTCAGGCAACTGTCACTCCCAGAAATACTGCAAGTGTCCACTCGGAGCGCACTCGGAGGTCGCACAGTGCAGCGTAACACACACACACACACACCTGAAACTACAGAAACACAACCCAGAGATCCGTTAGGACCTCTACTCAAGATTTCAGGGGGGGAAAGTTTCTCGAGAGTACACTCAGCGAAGCTGCGGGTAGTGACTCCCAACTCCGGCTTTTACAACACTTCCGCTAGCTTGCTGCTAGCGTAGGAAACCCGGTTTGGACTGCCTACTTCGGATCGAAGTCACTCAGACGCGGTGAACAACACTCTCAACTCACAAAACGCGCAGAGAACAAAGGTCCGCACTGAAGGACTCACGGAGAAACATTCCAGTAACACAACAACAGTCTATTGAAGAGTTTGAATTCTCAGGCACTTGTCATTCCCAGAAATACTACAGGGGTTACCCTCAAGGCACCTGCTGCAGCGTAACCTGAATTTACAACCAAGGCTTACACGAAGTAGCAAAACTTCACTTTGGCATTCAGGGGAAAAATCCCAAGGGAGTACAATCAGAAAGGAACACTCGAAGGTGTAGGGGCGAAACTGTTCAAGTATCTAACTAGTCATTGGCTCTGAGCATCGGCAGTCACCCGCAGGTGCAGATCCGAACGACTCAAGTCTCTAACCAATGTACTAGCTCTGAACATTCGGCCGAAGGCCTTCAGCTACAAAATGCGGAACGCTAAGTTGTAACTCCTCATGCGTGGTGACAGAACTCAAGGGCACAAACACGCAGAGGAAATGGATTCCTGATCTGCACTTCTGAGTTTGGGAAAGAACCCCAGGCATAACGCCTTGAACTATTTTATACCTTCTAAGTCCTACCTAGCACTACACTGTACTACGCTACACGCCTGCACGGAACCACGCTACACTACACTCCGCGGAACCTGTGCTACGTCTCCTGCGCGACGGACTGCCGCGCACTAACTCCCTACCCTGCCAGTCTTCCGCTCGACTGCGCAGTCCCAATCGCTGCAACGCCGCGGACACCTCCACTTCGAGGGCGGACATGGTATCCCGCGCCTTCGACAGAAAAGCGTCGAGCTTCTTTGCTACCTTCCGCCGACTCCTGCTGTCGCCTGAGAACAACCCGGCCGCGCGAAGTTCAAACTCACGCAGTGTGAGTTTCTCCTGCGCCGCCACTTCCCAGTGGGCGTAGCCCTTGAGACAGTGGGCGACACGCCTCGCCGTCTCCTCCTTTGTGCGATCTGCCTCCTTCCTGCGATCCTCTTCAATTACCACTAATTGCGATTCGGCCTCAGCACGTTGCGCTCTCAATTCGCCACACTCTGACTGTAGCCTGCGGATTACATCCTCATCCGCCTGTCGTGCGAGCTGACACTGTTCTAACAACCGCGTCTGTCGCACGAGCTCCTCTGACAAAATCCGATTCTGGGCCTGCTCAGAAATTAGTGCTTCTGTGACCTTCACCTGCTCCTTGGTGAGCTCTTCCAGTTTCCCATCCCTCACCTTCTCGGAGTACTTGTAGAATTTCTGATTAAGTTTATAGTGACCCCACAAGCATTCATGCTTCTCCTTCAATTCCCTCAACTCCTGGTCCACTCTAGCTAGTAGCTTGCTGGTGTGGACTTTAGTGCGAGTCCGCCTGCGCACTAACTCGATGTAAGATCCCGGCTGAAGTGGGTCGGTGTATTTATCGACTTTGCGATCCAAATACCTCAGCAACGGAATCACCTGCTCAGAGAGCGCCGCCGCCGGCGCTCCAACAATTTCCTCCTCCTCCTCCTCGGTGTCCCCTGCTCCTGACATTTCTTCGGGGGAGCCTCCGTCGTCATCATCCGAGTGGAGAATTTCAGTCGCCATTGATTGCGTCGGCGACTGACCCGAGTGGGGCTGCACGTCGTCGACGTGTGCTGCCTGCGAAGGCACGGCTGCAGCCTCGCTGCTCTTCGCCAAAATGTCTAAGGCGGTAGGCGAATGTGCCCGTGCTGCATCCCCGCCGCCCGCTTGTTGGTCGTCTACCGTATCCTCTCTGCCGCCGACGTCCGCCGCCGAAGGCGATCGAGCGGAGGGTGGCTGCGCGGGGTTTGATTGCGCATCGCGCATCAAAATTTCATCCCGCGGACAGTCACTCCGCTCCTCCGCCTGTTGCTGCTCCCTTGATCGGTCCGCGGGGGCTGTGCTTGGCCTGTGCGCAGGCGCAAATGCCGGCGCCTTGTCCGCCGCAGGCGTAGCGCCGCGGACGTCCATCGCCAAAGGCGACATGGCCGGGGGCCGCTCGCCCGATGTACCTTGGCCCTGAGGCCCTACCGCCGAAGGCGCATCTACCGGCGGATTACCCGCCGATGGTGCGGCCTCCGCACGCTCCCTGCTCGT